ATTCCTACTATATTGTTCTAAAAAACTTTCCAAAGTAGTGCACTAATAAGGAGTCCAACACAGTAAACAAGTGAGCTCAATAGTTCTCATGCTTAATCATTGATTTCTACTGCAGATGGAAGTGAGAGGACAAGATCAATTGAGTAGCCTGGCTCTAAGCTTAGGAACATGCTTGATAAGTGTTCACAGACAATTTTATGTGTAAATGTCATTTTCCCACACACATATGTGTAGACACTGCTAAGGTAACTAATCAAGCTGTGTCTGTGACAGTTTAGGCTACCTGAACATCCATCCTAAAAAATTACTTTTAATAAGTTCACATGACCTCCTGACTGGGATTTTTTTCTCATCATTCTCCATCTCTCCAACACTGTAAACAAGAGCTCTCCAAGAAAACACAGCCTTTAGAATTTCTCTCAATTAAATTTAGTTCCCCACAGAGCCAGTATATATAACACATATGCAGACCTATGCAAAAGGGATTCTCTTCTAGAATTACAATTTCTCTTGAATGGCAAAAAGGAGCAATACAAACTTTTCACAACCCAGTCAGTTACAAAGTTGCCTCTCATTGTCATAAAATTAAAGACCATGTCCCAGAATTTAACCAAAAGGTGGCAGCCTTCCATCCACTATCTCTGTGCTTTGGATATCAGTTCTCTAGAACTGATCATAAGGAAAACAACATTTTTTAAACCTTGAAACTTTTTATTATTTTTTTTATATTTTAACTTTTAAACTACTTTGCCTAGCTTGGTAGAAACCATTCTGCTTGCTTAATCCAAGAAGGTTTTCAGAATTAAGCATGTCTGCAAAATGACATGACCCTTTATAGTTTAAGATGTCTGTCTTTCTTTTTAAATTCTGTCAGAGGAAGGCTTTGCCAAAAAAAGACCGCAGTAACTTTTAAAAGATCTGAGCTGCTAAAAAGAGAGAGAGAAATCTCTAGAGGTGGAATAAATATATTATTAGATCATAAAATCTGTTTCCCAACAGAACATGAAGTATTATATCCTATGGAGAAGATTCTGAATTAATGCCATTGTTGCTAAAAATGAAAAGAAAGAGAAGGGCCAACAATAGCTATAGATTACACAGGTTTTATTAACTATAAAATGCACTCTGTGAATATATATCAGCTACAGTCTTCTCTATCAAAACACTATTTAACTCCCTTAACAGTTATCTAAACCAAATGCAGCATTTCATAGTACCTGATACTTGGAATATGGAAATCACTGTCAGATAAAACAAGGGCTGCATACATGGAAGGGGCAGATTTTTTAGTAGAGCAATGATACAGAAATATTAATGTGAGATGAAACTTTAGCTGGTCTCATCTTTCACAAATGCCCTTTAAGGGAACATTTTGACATTTTCTAGCCCTTCCAATTCCTCCGTTTTTCACACTGCTGCTTGCTGGGGAGCTGCAGTGCACAGAGCCAACATCACTGTGAGTGCTGGAGCAGGCACCCCCAGAGCCCCCACCAGTGCTCCCAAGTGTAGGTCAGAGGGAGCCCAGTGTTGTGTGATGGAATGAAGATGTGCTTGTCAACAGGAAGGGTAAGAATTGTACTATCAGTCACATGTGGATCATCAGGAATTACAGCATCATTAGGCAGGAAGGCAGAAGAAGATCTCACTCTCTCTGAGAAGCTGCCAAGGTGATTATACTGCACAAGTGCTTGGCAGCAAAGACTGGGCACAGGCAGTGCTCTCATGTCATTGCTTCATTTTGTCCTGCCACGGGCTCACCTTTGGAAAGACTCTGTGGACAAAGCATGGCCACTAACACGAAAAACATATTTTTACTCATTCCAGACTTCATCCTCTGTTGCTACAAAAATCTCATTTGATTTATAGTAGGCATGGACAAAACCCCAGTGCTAATGAGGCTGCAGACTCAGAAAATGCTGTGCAGAGAATAAGGAAATGAAGATTATGAATTTTCCTAGAAAACATTCTTAACACTTATTGACCTGAAGCATCCACTATAGGTTTTGTTTTGTTTTGTTTTAAAATGAATGTAACATCACAGAAGTAAAGACTAAAGTAAACACTAAAAGAGATCATTAATTTTTGAAGTTCCTACAAATTTTAGTATATCTAATAGAACATACCAGAGTTTCTAAAGGCACATTCATCCTTTAATAGTGCCCTTTTTAAAGGACATTTTAATATTGCTCCTGAAATATTGGTTATCTGTTAATTATCCTAGTCTGGAATTCAGTTGAGAGGTACTGAAATATTTTTCTTTAATCTAATAAAATATTTGTACTGGGCCAAATTCTGGTCCCAGTGAGGTTATCTTGGTGCTATGAGCTTCTCTGAAAAACAGGTTCAGTATCTACACCATAAGTTTTGTTTTAAAAATGTATTTTATGATTTATAGTTTTATACTGACCAGGTGGAAATGACAGACATGTATGAACTAACTGAATTGTTGTAAAATGAAGAGGGGTTGGAGATCACACAGGTTGGGAAGGGTACACAGATTTATTCTAATTCTGTGAATTCAGTAAATGATTGGGAAAAATACATTTTTAGCACTGAACTACTCTTGCTCATAGATGTAATTCTTAGAAAAAGAATATATTTTGGGGAAAAAATTCCCCCCATTAGCAGTTGGATTGAAAAATCCTTTAGGATAAGATTATGTATTTCTTATCCAAGCACTCCATAACAATCACAAAGGATATTCTGTTATCCTTCTATGGCTTATGTTTCTGCGATGCTAATAACTAAATATTCTACTAACAGAAGAGTTTTCTATTAAAGTTTATTCATCAGACTACTGAGCTAGAAAATAATTGATCATAACTAAACTTTAAAATGAAGACTTGAAAAGACAGTCCTTGAGATAATACTGTGTATTAGCTCAGAAGGAGACTAAATTATCTTAAATGTTCACTTAATAGTGCACAATCTTTGACTTGCATGTATTTTCTTTTCATACTGGTATGATCCTGAAAGCCATCTGCTTTACAGAATAAATTCCATCACTGGTAAATACACAGCACACACCTCTGTAGCCTGTGGAGAAAGTTTTTCTAACTGATGCTATTATTTTATCATTAGATTTTCCTTTATATAGCTCTTTCTTCTTCCAACAGTAGCTATGGCAATAATCAGAAGCAGGAAATTTGCAGTATGTGGGATAATAAAGGGGAACATCTCCCAAAGCCCAAAGGGAAGCTGAGTCTCCCCGGCTCAAGAAAATATTAGTTTGATGTATTATGTCTTAAATTTCAGACTCCAGTTCTGCAAAACCATATACATAATTCAACCCCTCTAGGTAGACCAAATAAAAACCTGCTCTTATAAGCTGTTTACATAAATAAGCATGGGAAGAATATGTAATTACAAAAGTAAATTCATCAAAATATTCTCCCTAATGACTCATAAATTTATTCTTATGCATCTATAGGGCGAGCCTGGAGAAGCTGGTAACCCTGGACCTCCTGGAGAATCTGGAACAGCTGTGAGTATTTGGTTGTTGTCTTATCATTAACATTTATTATGGTGAACTGTGGTATCTGGCAGGGCTTTGGTAAGCATTTCCTCAGATCACTTGTGCACTTTCTCTTTGAATTTTCAGCTGAGAACTTATCCCTTTAAAATGATATTTGTTTCCATATAATCATAGCCACATCTTGTACTAACAGAGGATGGAGACTTCCCAAAACAATGCCTATTTTTCCTTTCATAAGTATTAACTTTGGCTTGCATGTTTCTCTTTCTGGAAACAGTTCACTGATGAAATCTGGGAGCAGAATTTGGCACTTGACCTAAGAGATCCTTATTTCCCACTCGCATGCCACCATTTATTGAGGAAATTGATAAATTTCCATTGTCTGAAAAATCAGTTTGCTATTGTGATCTTTTTTGCCATTCCATTTCCAGATAGCATTTTTGTCTTCATGTGTTTTCCACAGGGTCCAAAAGGTGAAAGGGGAGAAAAAGGTGAAGCTGGTCCACCTGGAGCAGCCGGACCACCAGGTGCTAAAGGACCTCCAGGTGATGATGGGCCTAAGGGTAACCCAGTAAGTGAGCTTCATAATTCTAACCCAAACCACTGTGAAGCATTGCTGAATACAATCTGTGAATACAGAACCATAGCATTTCCTGCAAGTGCACTACATTCATTATATGCTTCATAAAAGATTTCTGATGAGTGCTACCTGCTTGGCAATGGACGACACATTCTTTGCTTTTTTTCCTGATCTATCTAGGGCCCAGTTGGTTTTCCTGGAGATCCTGGTCCCCCTGGGGAACCTGGTCCAGCTGTAAGTATACCTTAAAAACAGTTTTAGGTCCTAGTCTTAGTTTTGTACTTCATTCTAGTTGACCCTCTCTCCTTCTTGTCTGGGCATGAACTCTTGCCTGTAAGATCCTTTGCTTTTCTGTTCATGCATTTCTCGAGGCTTAGAAATGTTAAGAAATTTTTAAAAATTTTGAAAAATAATGACCTTGGGAAAATGCTCTATGGAAAAATAGTGTTCTTATATTCATATATGAAAGATAAGGGCCTAAATTAGCTGATTTTTTAATTTTGTTTATTTTTCTTGAATTCTGTAGGGTCAGGATGGTGTTGGTGGAGAGAAGGGTGAAGATGGTGATCCTGGTCAACCTGTAAGATTTTTCTCTCCTTTTATTTCACCTGCATAATCTCTCTGATGATAAGAAAGTATCTTTTGCCAAATCAGTGGCTTGTATGCAGTCACACTCTTAAAAATATTTTCAGAGTGGACACTTTTTCTGTTATACTGAAAAAAAACTATTTATTTCATTGAAGCAGTAGAACTGCCCATATTATAGTAACACAATGAAGGAAGAGCTCAATTTCCTTTAGAAGTAGTGATGTGTTAAAGGATTTCTGCTGGAGCTGCTGAGGAGCACTAAAAATAGAGCAGCTCTGAGCATAAGAAAGAAATGCTGCAGCCAAATAATCTTCATTAGCTGAACTAAGGAAATTAAGCCAAGAGCTTAAGCAGTACCTGAGCAATACCCATATTAAGCATCAAAGCTCTGTTTCTGTAGATTCTGTCCATTGATGGGGCTAACACATGACAGATGTCCATGGCATTTAATACAGGTGAGAACTTCATCCTTTATTCCTGCTGTGATTTTAATTTTCTTTTGCAGGGTCCACCAGGTCCTTCAGGTGAAGCTGGCCCACCTGGTCCTCCTGGGAAAAGAGTAAGGAATATCTCATCTTCTCTTGTACACTTCTCCTTCTGAGACAGTGTGTCCTTGAGAATTTCAGCTACTTGTTTCATGCTGGGACACTCATATCTGACATTTGTCATTTCTTTTAAGTAATGTTATAAGAGAAATGAAAAAAAAAAGAAACAACAGAGAAAGCTCTTTAACATGGGTTATAAGAACATAAGAACAAAAAAATACATAGGGAAGAATGCATTGCTTACCCATAAAGGTGATTTTTCTTTTCACTTAAGAATTGAGTTTCTACTGAATCAGTCTGCTAACAGGAGTGAGTTGGTATGACAGTAATAGCAGACACCATCTTCAGGCACATGTCTGCTATCAGGGAGCAGGAAGAATGTGTCTGGTTTGGTGTATTTAGTCTTGGAAATAAAATAATTTCAATGCAGCTACTGTGCAAAACTATATCATCCTATCTGTATACAAGATTAACAGGCAGGCATTTCTTTAACTTATGAAGCTATTCCATTGCTAAAGCTTTTGAAGGTTCACAGGGTTTACAAATATACCTAATCAAACCCAGTAAATAATGTTGCAATCACAGAACTGTAGTAGATGCATCAACCCTTAGGTGTGCTTCAGAGAGCAATTAGATGCAGTTTTTACACTTTAAAAAACAGAAGAAGTGGCGTTATTAAATGTGAGCTGATAATTATTTAACAAAATATTTTAAATTGCTTGGTTTAATGGGCTTGAGTGGAATGACATGCCTAATTGGTTTTATTTATTTTGTACAGTAATCTATTTGCTCCACCAACATGCAAAGTATTTATAATATTTTAAATTATTATGGTCACGTTAGCAACCTTATTCTAAAACTGAAATATGGCTCAACTGAATATTAGCAGTTATTATATTTGCTTGACATCAAATTAAAACTTCCTTCTTTATTATACAAAAAGGCAATAGCTCACGCCTCAGAGACAGGCTATATTCTATCTGATTGTACCTAGACAAAAAAACAATTTCAAAGCACAGATTCCATGTTACCTGTGATTTGACACATTTCCAATTTAGGGAAAATGCATGGCTAAATATTTCAATGTAGTCCCTATCTGAATTATGGAGAAAACATTTTTAGAATCAGATTCTACATTACTTGAGCACCAGAATATTTCAAACTTGTAGGGAATCTGTATTATATTAATATTATACTAGAGAGTAACAGTGAAAGACAGAAAGTTTCATACTTACCTGAAAAAACTGCTTTTCGTTAGTTTTTATCACTTGTATGGTAGAATCAATTTCAAGAAAAAGACCTAACAAGAGTCTTAATTTGGATTGAGAAGGACACACAGTTTCAGTAGTAATATTGCCATCTGTGAGGTGCAGCTCTGGCTACACTACTAGAAAGCAAAATTCCACTCCATTTTTTGGTTTTCAGTCTCCAAAATAATGAGCTGGCAGAGCTCAGAATCCATACTTTTAATTAAAGGCTCTTGAAATCCTCAACAGTAGGCTCCTTATTTATTTTGTTATACATTTTCGTTCCCCTCTTCCATTCCATTTTGTAACTGACCAGACCTCAATTTTACTGCCCAGTCTTCTAAAATCATGTTTATTACCAGCTGTCAGAGTTTTGAGCAATCTCTGTCTAGTTACAGAGTTTAAAAGTTTCCCCATCTCTCCCTGGGAAGCAAATTCTAGTGAAAGACAAGGACATATATAGTTTTTCCATTGTATCTAAGAAATTGATAAGCCAAAACCATCATCTAAAAAGGGTGACTTTTGTGACATAGTAATTGACAAAGTCTTGAGAAGTGATTTTTTAAAAGTTTAATTAAACAGTAATTATTATTTTACGTATTCTGACTTCTTAAATTATCTCTGCATGTACCAGATCAGAAAAATACACGCTCAGAAGGCTTTATACATCAATGTCATTTAGCTGCAAGTAATAGTATTAATTGTGGCTGCTTATCTAGAACTAGAGATACAGTCTGAACCTCTCTGCAGTTATGTTGTTATTATTATTTTTCTGGAACTTAATTCCTTGCTCTTACTTTTGAGTCTCCTTTTTGGTTTGCCATACAGTACTGGGTAACACTTCTAGTTTGAATTCACTGATTTCCATCTGGCAAATATTAAAAGTAGCATGAGGAAAAGACACCGTCAGAGACTATTTTATTAAAAGTAGCATGAGGAAAAGACACCGTCAGAGACTATTTGTCCTTCAGATCAATATGCAGTCAATGCAGATCAGCACAGATCAGCACTCCTTGCCTGTGTTCCCAGCCCTTCAGTGTGCCAGGCACTTGAGCTTTGGGATCTGCTGCTGGGCTGCTTTCCTGGACAGTGAAAACCAGATACATACACACAAACCTTCATATACCAACCAAGTTTTAGAATTTAAAACTCAAGACTAAGATGTATTTTTGTTCTCAACTGGAGGTCACACCATCTTTTTCCATTAAAAGATGTCAATACTGAAGCAAAGCCAGCAGTTTTGCAAACCAGAAGTTTATTTGGTTTGCTGCCTTTAAATACAATTTTGAATACCTTAGGAAAAAATAAAGTGTTTCTATGAAGGAGATTTTTTTTTTCCATTTTGGCTTCATCATGATGCTGGCTCAGCAGGGTGTACTCACCACTTAAAAATTAATTTCTCTCTTGATTTCAAATGCACAGAATACCTAACAATATGCTAAGTTCCTGTCACACAGGCTAATGAAATGTGGTAATGGTTTTTCTGTGTTGGAAATCATGTTTTAAGCCAGAAGACAGCTATAAACAACAGCTGAAATTATTTTAATGAAATATGGAAGAATAGAGAAAAATATTCAATAGGTTCATGTAACAAAAGTTGAGAGCGAGTTTGTTTCTGCATGATTGCTTTTGTCTTCTTGGTTGTTAAAACGTATCAGGCAGTACGTCCAAAATGGCAGTGCAGTGTTGATAAGAATCAGCATGGCAGCTGGGGTGATGAGGGGTAGAACCCTGCATTAATGTCCAGTACTGTTACTGAAGTGCTTTCTGGCAGCTACAATTCCCCAGCGCAGTGGGAGGCGGGGGCATTGCAAGGAGCGCTCCGTGCCTGCAGCGGCCCCAGGGCAGCAGCTCCGTGCCGGGGCAGCCCGGGCACTGCTGCTCATGTCAGGCACCGCACTTGTACTTCAGCCATCACAGTGGGCCGAGCCCTGCTAATTCATTCAAGCTGCAGCTTCATTTCCAGATTATTGAGAGACCATAATTCTCAAGTACAAACTACCATATTCAACCCTTTTCAGTCTCTCAGGGTGGGTTAGAATCCATATGGGAACTTCAGACAAGTAAAGAAAAGGGGCATATTAATTAATTAATGTAAGAAAAAAAGTAATGTTTCTAAAATTCTTCTTATTTTATTTATGTACCTGTTGATCTTTCTTATTATCACTGCAAACTGTAATCCACCCAACAAATTATAACCTACACAAAGGGTTACATACATCAGACATTATTAATTATCAATGGTACAGCGGGGATTTAAAATATTCTTCCTGTTTCAAAGAGTCAGCATTTGGCCCAGGGCATCTAAGCTTCTCTGTATTTGGAAGAAGTAAAACTAAGTCCTTTACCCCTTACAGCTCTTAAAAATACCAAAGAAAAAAGCTGCTGATACCCACAACAAATGGTCGAAGTCCTCTTGTGGTTAATTCAATTCATTTGGCATTATCTTTGATGTAGTCTGAACTATCTCTGCTGGCCAAAAGGTCCATGCACTGCTGCAGATGTTCAGTGTCACCCTGGAGAAAGCTTAATTTCAGAAGTAAATGAATGATCTTAATATACTTCTATGTAAACAGCTATAAAATGAATATAAATTTCCAGGAATTAAAACCAGTGGAGTTGCTCAAGGTATGTGCCAAGGTAGCAGTGGATAGTGAAATATACCAGGCAATAAAAGGTTTGGGCTAAGTTCAGCTCTAGTATAAAAAATGGCTTTAGGTCAAATACTGATCCAAAGCCCTGAGCCCACAAAGCAAACAGGCAGATGCTTAACTGGAAGTACAGTTCTTAGTGGTAAAATTTAATTTGTGTTCTGGTGCTTTACCTTTAAGGAGCCTGATTTGTTTTTCTATATGTTAAGAAGTCAAAGGCAGTAAATAAATGGAAGTGATTGAATTTTTCTAGTTGTTGATCTTCAGAACATTTTTTTTTACATAAAAATCTGCTTGTTGCATTAATGAACAGATGAGTCTTACATAGATTCACAAAATCACAGCATTTGAGCATAGTCACTTTTCTTTCATGTTCCTTTAAGCTGCTTATTGGTTGGCAAGTAATAGCTACTTGTAATAAAGACATTTCCCAGGCTAAAAATTAACCTTGTAGGAGAACAGTTGGTCCATTATCTCGAGTGTATCTTTTCTAAACTAAGTATATAAGAGAACCATTTTCAGAAGAGTGCATTAAATTCTAGACACTGCTCCTGTTCATAACTGAAGCTATGAATATTAATTACCTGACCTAAAAAACAGCCCTTGATGTTCTGGAGGAGCAAAATGTCTTTTTATTTTTCACTTTCATATTTAGTGGATAATATGTCAATTTTTGGCTGTCCAAGTGTAATCAGGCCCCTTACTGAGCCCATCCCTGACTTAGAGAATAAAGAAGTATTTGCCACACTGTGCACTGTAGAAAGAGAGGCCTTTTTGGAATCAGTGGATAAACTACAGTGAATAGATAGAATTCAATGCAAAGCAAGTTTAAAATTAATTGTTATTGTACATATAAATTAGTATTGCCTTTTTTCTTTTGTATACTGTTTTGTTGGGGGTTTTGTTTCTTTTGGGGTTTTTTGGGGGGTTTTGGGTTTTCTTTTTGGTTTGGTTTGTTTTTTTTTTTAATATTCCCAAACAAATTAAATCGCATCATCTTTTAGATATTCTAAAAAACCAGAAAATTGTATAGCAGAATAAGAGCTGTTTGGTAATTTTTAGCGTGTGAATAAAATGTCAAAAAAGGAAATTTAATGTTATTTTGTAAGCATTTGCTACTTATTAATATGGTGGGAATTGCACTTTCAGAATTTTTTTCACTGGTTATATTTGAAAAAACCTGAGATTATGAGCTCAGTGTCCATATTTTACAGGGACCTCCTGGAGCAACAGGTGCTGAAGGCAGACAAGGTGAAAAAGGTGCAAAGGTAATACACTGAAGATTTTTTTTGAAGCATAGAAATATAAACTATTTATAATTTAAAAGTTAATTGCTTATGATGCACTGAGTGTGCACCTTTTCAAAGATATAACAGGCACTGTGTAAAATTTGAATTCAGACCCAGAATTAGTAGCAATATGTAATGGAGAGTACCCAGCAGTGCAGGCCCAGCACAGGTCACCTGCAACAAGCAAGGGGAGCCTGCTCTGCTGGCACCACACCTCTCTGTGAAGCCAGAGACATTTTACTCAGGAAATCATCCTGTGCAGACCTCTGGCTTTTAAAAGCACTTTGCCTCTTGTACATCCCTTCAGTGCCAAACTCAGCCCCTCTCTGACCTGCTCTGTTCTTTCCAGGGTGAACCTGGTGCAGAAGGGGCTCCTGGAAAAACAGGGCCAGTTGGGCCACAGGGACCTGCAGGGAAACCTGGCCCAGAGGGTCTCCGGGGCATTCCTGGCCCTGTGGTAAGTCATGGAGCACACAATATCTTAAATGTTGCATTTCCTCTATACACTCTGGTAAAGCCAGCTTTTTGTTTTTTCTAGGGAGAACAAGGTATGCCTGGAGCACCAGGCCAGGATGGCCCTCCTGGACCTCTGGTGAGCATCCTTTTCCCACATGTCCCTCACAGAAGCCTCCAAAAACATCACTGAAAGATCCCTCTTCGAACATTTGAGAGCTTAAATAGTCTGTTAAAATTTGGAGCTGAGTATATTAATGAACTATATACTTCCAATTACACAGACTTCCTGTCAGCTCAACAAGAACTTTTCAATGCATTGCTGAAACTTAATTTTGGATTTTAAGAAAGTAAAGTTGATATATAAAAGTTTCTCAGGTTATATTTCCCTCCTTCCCCTCCCATCCTCCACAAAAGATTGCTATCAGGAGAGTGTGTAGCCTGATTTGCAGTAGAGCACAACACACTGCAGGTGAAAAGTCTAATTCTGCATTCCAAAGGCTTAAAAATTTCACATTTCATTCATGAATTATGCATTTGCCTATGCTTTTGCATCTAGTGATATCCTGAAGTGGAGAAGGAAAGCATAAGCACTGAATAATATCTCGTACATGAAATGTTATGGCATTTTTGAGTATGTGCCAGGTGGAAAAGGTCTCTTATCACTCCTATCCATAGCAGAAGTTGTCCACTGCCTCCAGGAGAGCAGTGGTGAGGAGACACAGACTTGGTGTAGCAGCTCTACACCTCATGGACACGTGTGCAGTGTGAGATTAACAGCCTCTGAAAAATTCATGTCTTTTGCACAGGCACTGCATGGCCTGCATTTTTCACTCCATTATGTACAAATTACACAATTTGCATTGCCATTCTTAAAAAATCTAAAGATTTCTCAAATTAAGAATTTAGTTGACCCTCTGTTCCATAGATTTCTACTCATACAACCTTTTATAGATTTCTAATTATAAAGTAATTTAAATACCACTGTAGCATCATTATGGTTTTTTAAACATACATTTCATCCTGGGCTCTAAATCATGTCATCAATCACAACCATCAGCCACTGAATGTGTACTTTGATTTGAACTGCCTTCAATAACATTTCAAGAAAATGTGATTTGAGCAGGATGTTAAAACTTACTTTAACATGACTTCCCTTGCTTTATAAAGGGCCCACCTGGCTTGCCTGGACTGAAAGGAGACCCAGGTTCCAAAGGAGAGAAGGTATGCTTTGCTAATTAGTTGTGTCTTTGTAACTTCAGCCCACTCTAAAACCTGTATAAAACTAGCAGAGAGAAGCAGCAGAGTTTTTATCAGCAAGGCATTGTACCATGCTATCAAACAGCTTCCACAGCCCTAAGAGTCATCATGAAGTTTTAAGCCATATCCTGGAAACAGCTAGAAAGAAACAGATTACTGCCTGTGTGGTAATCGATTGACCGTGTGGTCCCTGCAATGAAAATCCCAAAGATAATGATATAAAGAGAACTGTCAGATTTACAAGAACAAAGCAAGTAGAAATTATGAGTATTGGCAATTTTTATTTTAAAAGAAAAATATAAATATTTAACAGCTATAATACTTTCTTTTGAAATAATGGATTGAGACATCTGGGATAGCACTTTTCTATGGAGTCCCAACAATATATGGATTGCTTTTGTATCAGAGAAAAACCTGTAGAGAAAGAGGTGTGAATATGACTGTGCCTTGTGAACTGCAGGTTCTGTTGATCTGCTTGGATCAGCTGTTTATGCAACCATAGCACATGTGGAACTCTGTGAGATGCTGATAGCAGCTACCTGTGAAAACTGGTATGAAATTTGAACCCAGGGTACCGTGACTTCTGTGCTGGTTTCAGTAAGGACTGCACTTGGATCTTTCACTGAATAAGCAGTCACAACTTGCAAATAATCTGAAAGTTGGAAAGTCCATCTAACAACAATAAATACGCTTTTAGAATAATTTGTTTTCAGGTTGATTATTGACAAGCAACAGTGGCAACATGTGAAAGGTCTAATTTATGTGTTTGCAAAGCACATTTACTTTAATGTATGTTAACTGTATTTTCTTAAATCTTATTTAGGGACATCCTGGTTTGATTGGCCTGATTGGACCTCCAGGAGAACAGGGTGAAAAGGGTGATCGGGGTCTTCCTGGCCCACAGGGATCTCCTGGAGCCAAGGGGGATGCAGTGAGTACAACATATTTGTGTTCCATTCAAGTGCCATGTAAGGAGTGTCTGTTCCAGGCTTCCTTCTGAAAGCTGTTCTAAACACTTAACACTCAGAGTCTCCTGCAAGAGATTAAAACTTTCTTTTCTTTGTACAAACACAGCAATATTAAACATCTTTAAATGAGGTTATGGAGTGTTTTTGGAAAATTAAGGAAACACATAGACCCCAACATGCACACAGAACACGTTAGCAACAAGATAAAAGTAGCAGCAGCAATCTCATCACATTTTCTGATTGCCTTACCCAAAGCAGCTCCCTCTCTTCTAGCTACTAAGCCATGTTTTTAGGGCACTATGTAAAATGTGAGGTTTCCAAGCCCATCTGAAGAGGAACACAGCTCTGACAACCCACTGCAGTCAGTGCAAGAACAACTACAAGCAACTCACATTGTCAGATCTAATATTTTAAACTTGCCAACTATTCTGGCCTCTAGCAAATAGCCTAACTCAAAACTCACCACAGCTGGACACTTCATGGAACTACTTTTTTATAGATACATTTTTTTTTAACACAGTCCAGTATGTAGAATACTTCAGTTCTGTGCTTATTCTCTTATTCCTTTTTAGGGAATTTCTGGTCCTGCAGGTCCCCTTGGACCCCCTGGTCCCCCTGGATTACCTGTAAGTAATTTCATCCAGCCCTCCTGTTCTACCCAGCCCCAAGCTGTGTGCAGTACACTCTAACCAGAGTTATATGTTCTTGCCCATAGGGTCCCCAGGGTCCCAAAGGTTCCAAAGGATCCAGTGTGAGTAACTCTCCTCTACACTTTCTCCTCTTTTCCTTAGCTTTCGTGTGTGTTATTTTTAAACGTTGTGTAACATGCTCAACACTGCACTCCTTTCATTGCTCTGTAGGGTCCTGCTGGTCAGAAGGGTGACAGTGGCTTACCTGGCCCACCTGGTCCTCCAGTAAGTAAGAAGTCTTATCTTGCATTACCCTGACAAAATGAACCTGCTTTGACAAGGGTAGAAAACAACGTTTGGGAACTAAAATATGAATGATGGTTTGAAAATTCATTTTTCAGGAAAGACAGATCCACCAGGCACAGAAATACGTATCTGCACTGAAAAAGCCAGAAGAAACTTAAAACAAATAAATAAAATAAACAAAAAGAACACCCCAAAAAACTCTATAACCAACCCAAACAAAGAAGCTCCTCATGCAATAATTATTTAATGCATTACATTGAAGCACAGAAACCAAAATTCTACTGGTTTCCCCTGCTGATACTCTTCTGTTTCCATAGTTATTTTTAATATCATAACAAACTAAAATGAAGAGTCCAAACCTGAGTGTAGTTCTTCAATTTCTTGAAGTTAAAAATTGTTTCCTAGACCCCAAATGGAATTTTCCACTTTTATCATAGGAAACATACAGAGTTTTCAATTTTCATAGAATATGTCTGTGCTTGAGGGAATTAACAGGGATACAGAGGCAACTGTGAGTCAGTTCTGTGTGTCACTTGTGTGAGGGCAACACATTCATCCCCAAAATCAATGTAGTGAGAAGAGTTTAGAGCACAACAACGGTTTGGCCTTTTACAATCTTTTTTGGTTTTTTTCTGCAAAGCACATAGGTATGAATCTAAAAGAAAAAAAGGTGAAATAAAGAAATAAATACCTTGAAGAAAGCCTACTCAAAGCATCTCCAAGCCACATTCTGTGGTCCTTCTCTGCTAAAAAACTAACAGAAGATATAATTAGATATGTTGGTTTCCACTTAGGGCCCTCCAGGTGAGGTAATCCAGCCACTGCCAATCCAGTCAGCCAAGAAGACAAGACGATCCCCTGACTATATGTTATCTGATGCTGGTGATAATATTCTGGATTACACTGATGGCATGGAGGAGATCTTTGGCTCCCTGAATTCCCTGAAGCAAGACATTGAGCACATGAAGTTTCCCATGGGCACTCAGAATAACCCAGCCCGGACCTGCAAAGATCTGCAGCTCTGCCACCCCGACTTCCCAGACGGTGAGTTCATAGTGCACAGCGGGGCACACGGGGCTGAGCCTGGCTCTGCCTGGGCCCTTTGGCACCACTAATCCAGTACTGAGACACGGCTCATACAGCTGCTCAACAAACACAGTCTCATTGAATCCATTTTTACAGGTATCAAAGTTTAAAAGTGTAAGACATGTTCTCTTGGTAGGAGTCAAAGCTCTTTAAATACATAACCTGATCTGTTTTTTGAGTTAAAACCTGTTAAAGTGATAAATAAAAAGCAGTTGTTGTCATGAAAGGTGGGCCTTGCATTTCCAGGATGATCAAAACAGGAGTGTGATGAAAGAGTGTAGTATAACAATATTTGTAGTGGGTGTAGTATAACGATATTTCAGCATTGGTATTATATGATATTTATGTTCAATAATGATTCTCAAAAAGTTTACTAGTCTTTTAGCCCTGGAAGCAATAATTTTCTCTACTGCATCTGATTTTTTCTAGATCAGCCAGCAAAGAGGCATGGAAGTTTCTTTGATACTGTTTAATGCTACCAAGTAGTAGTGTAATAAAATGCATAGTAATATGAAGATACCCAGTGTTCCTAAGAACTATCTTGATTTCATTATTCTTTGTTGTTTTCTCTTTTTTCTTTTAAATAATTTTACCCCTCTGAAAATGTTTAAATGAAAGCCAGCCTTCACTAAATTTTCTTCCTTTCATAATTTTTTCAATTGCAATGCATATTTTTCCCAGTTCAAAGCAATATTTTTTTTGCTTTTAAATGGTAAAAAAAATAGATTTTGACAGTTTAATAATATTTTATTGCTTTCACTCTAGATAGATAAGAACAGATGGCTGCCTTGAGGAGTAGTTAAGCTGTGTATGTGCTATATGAAAAGTAGATATTTTACAATTCAGTACCCTCCATAATAAGGAATGGTTTTTACATTCTGCATTTACCACTATTTGCTTCTTCTTCAGAGCTGTCTTCATATAAAAGTAATCTTATTTTGGTTAAAATAAAAGCAAATATGTTCATTAAAATTCAGAATTCCTCAGGGATAAGACTTACAGAAAGGAAAGACTGTTTTCAATATACAGCCTAAATCAACAGAATTGTTAAACCCCACAAATACTTTGTCTATGCCCTATATTCAGAAGACAGAACTGGTGAAAGGATTAGTCACTTCTCTTTGAAATCTCCACTATTTGTTTGAAACTGGATTAGAACTGTAGTTGTCAGAAAGTTGCTTGCTGCCCTGCTTGTGAAACACCTCAAGATAAGAACCCTCATCACAAAAATCATCATTCTAATTGGAATATCAGATTTTAAAGAGCACTGACTTTCAATGTACCTTGGATGGGCTGCAGCTCTTTTCTTGCCCAGCTTTCACTGGTGTTGCAGCTTCATAAGCCAGGAGGAAAAGGTCTTTGCTTGAGGTGGATCCATCTTAGTGGAAGCTTTAGGTCCTTGTGCCAGCTACAGCCCCAGCAAGCCACATGCGGACACCTCTGTTTGCAGATAGGGATGCATTCCAGATTTTGCTCCCTGACCTAAAGCATTCATATAAAATAAATTTCCTACTTTGGAGGACCATTAGGTAGCAGTAAAACCTGGCTCTTCTGAATACCATTTCTATGGTATAAGGTGAATATTTTCTCATTTGTCTTAGGGGAATATTGGATTGATCCTAACCAGGGCTGTTCTGGAGACTCCTTCAAAGTATACTGCAATTTCACAGCAGGTGGGGAAACTTGCATCTACCCAGATAAGAAATCTGAAGGAGTAAGTACCAATCTGTGTTTTCAGTTGGCTGCTGACAGTTACTATTATGCTGTTACAATGTTGAACTAAACAGGATAATTACATTGCCACATTTTCATGTATCTGTCTTTCTGATTACATTTACATTTACATATATCTGAATGGAGCAGTAAAATGGTACATAGAGTTAACAAATACCATTTTCAACTTCAGATAGGGAATCTGTGCACCTGCTTGCTTACATGTCAGTACATTTCAGAATGCAACACAGCTGAGCAGCCACTTACAGCAGATGATCTAGTTTTTGTCATCTAAAAGCTAAACCTTCCTGTGTTTCCCTTGTGGGTTCATTTATATCTATTCATGCATTCCTATGCAAAGTAGATGTAAAGACTGTATTAACAGTGTCGTTATTCACTGTTATAGATTACATCTGCTGAGGCATATGGTATAGAGGAAGGCTTTCTGAAATCTTGCCTAAATGACAGCAATCCATTAGCATCAACACTGGTGAAAACTCATTTAGATACTTCACAGCAACAATTTATACCAGCAGCTTACCTGGCTCTTAACAGGTTACAACCATCTCCCTCAAACAGAACTAACTCTCTCTTGGATTCCATTTGAAGTCACTGATTTGAAGGCATTCTCTGCAAGAAAAAGATTCCATTTCAGACCTTTAAAGTGGCTGAGATTTCAGAAGAATCATTCTGTATTATCTGGTGTGGTATTTGTCCCAAGTAATGTAAAACCTTCCTATCTGTCAACATATGTTTCAAATACTTCTGTCTCTGATGTTTGACCTCACAGGTTAGAATTTCATCGTGGCCAAAGGAGAACCCAGGATCTTGGTTTAGTGAATTTAAACGAGGCAAACTTGTAAGTTGTCACTGCAATGTAACTGTATTCATAAATCAGTTCCATCTTTTCAGCCATCAGCAGGTCACAGGGAATTTTACAAATATTTACATAATGAAAAGACCCCCAGCCCTTTTGCCCTAAATATCACAGCAGCTCTGTGGTCTCTTGCCCCTGGACAGCCAAAGCCTGGTCTGTACTGTCCTACAGTGATCCCAAAGGTCACTGCACAGCTGGTGGTGAGGATCTGGCCCCTGTCAGACATACCTTACCACCAAACCTTGGGAAAGCAGCTGGAGCACAGATCCCCCACCCCAGTCTAGGTTACTGGAAATATTCTGGGTATGCAGAGGTGAGGCTGCAGGCTGACTAACTTTATGATTAACTAAAAACAGATTACCAAACAGATTCTGCTGCTTTACACTATAAGGCAGGAGTGATTCTCTCTTTTCCCAGTAGAACAAAGCTCATATATGTAATTCTTCATCCTTAATACTGCTACATCATGAAAATCTATTTACTGAGTCATAGCTGTATCGACCTTTAAAACTTCATAAAATGTTATGTGTTGGTTGATATTTTTATTAAGGGCAGTTATATGATTCTCTTTTGTCAACAATAATTTTGGTTTGCATTGTACCAAAGAAAACAGATAAATATTACTCTAACTTTTTATACTTTCCAGCTTTCCTATTTGGATGTTGAAGGCAATTCCATTAATATGGTCCAAATGACATTCCTTAAACTACTGAGTGCCTCTGCCAGACAAAATTTCACTTACAACTGTCACCAGTCTGTAGCCTGGCACGATGCACCCTCTGACAGCTACGACAAAGCACTAAGGTTCTTAGGATCCAATGATGAAGAAATGTCTTATGACAACAATCCTTACATCAAAGCTCTCCATGATGGCTGTGCAGTAAGTAGAGCTTCAAAGAGTCTTTACAAAACCAAGCTGTCATTTAAAGTGGAAATCAAACAAATCTATTTTTTCACAGCTTTCTTCTGAGACAAGCTTTGTAAACACTTCACTTGTCATATACTGATTTTTAGTAGATTTTTAATCATAGTACACTAGTGCCATATTCAATTTTCACCTATGTACCAAAAAAGATATAACCACAAGCCAAGAAATTGAACAAACCTGGAATGGATGCAGGCTGTCAGCACCACTGTGTTGAAAGCAGACTATCTGCTGCTGTGTACTTCCTTCCAGAATAAGGAAAGAACAGAAGCAAAATAGATAATGAAAGAAGGCAGTCTATAAGCAGAATATACTGATTCTAAAAATCAAGGTATACACAAAGAGAATAGTCATTGAATACAGCAAAAACTGTATCACATAAATCCTATGTATGTACCCAAACATAGTGAATTAATTTCATAGTTTGATATGTGACTTTGTGTTTCCTTTTCTTCTTTTCTATATTCAAAGCCAAGTGAAGTTTGTAAGAAAAGTAAGAAGGCTCTTACTTTTCAGAATCCCCCTTTAAGCTAAAAATCCCCAGAGGTGTCCAAGCATACATCAGCTCCCTGAGCACTCCTCTTTCAGGGTCTCTGTGGGCATAGCAACTGTTACCACTTCTCAGAAATAGAACAGTCTCTATTGAACCCTTTGAAACAAAGACATCAAAAGAACAAGGGATAGTTGAAGCCTCATTAATTATTTTGGTGTTTGATATAGGAGCATTCTGAAAGCAGTTTCTGAGCAGTCAGAGATACAGAATTAGAGACCTGAAAGTGCCAGGATATACACCTGAGGCAGAGATGCAGCTCAGGTGGTGCAAAGCACCTCCCCTCAGCAGTGAGACTCTAATACTCAACTGCTTCATGTCAGTCTTTCTGTGTGCCTTGTATTTCCATTTCTCTTTTGTTATCCACAAAGATAAATGTAGAGTTCCAGAGAGAGCTGAAAGTTGCAGCTGTCACTAAATTGAGAACACTCAGGTCTGTCAGCCTGGATGCTCCTCTGAACTCCAAGACCCTGGTATAGCTGAAAGAGGTCTCAGCAGATATGAGAGACCATCTAAAGGAAGTGCTGACAGGTGATGTGATGGCTGGCTGAGGGATGCATGAGGAGCTAGAGAGCCTTCTTCAGGCACCAAGGGTGTGCCTTCAAAGCTGGCTTCCAAGTGCAGCAGTTGGCAGTCCTGTCAAAATATTACTTTCTTCTTAGTTGCTGTAATAGTTTGTGAGCCTGTTACAGTATTTCTTCTTAGAAGTGTATCTTCTCTGTTTCAGAACTAATTTGTGATTTTTTTTCCACAGGAAATATGTGTACTGCTGTGGCAATATTATTGTTTATTAGATAGTATAGACATGAACTACAGAATTCTCTAAAAAACATGGAATATCTTAAATTATTTTTCTTTTGTAGGCCTACTTTAGTAAGTAAAAAAATCTATGGTTCATCCTCCAACTAAAATCATTCCATGTCATATTTTTAGAATTAAATCATAAGAAAATACAAGATTTAGGGTTTGCAATATCTGGTGCATGTCAGGGCAATAATTTCAAAATTCTACACTTCAGAGATAAAATATGAAGATTGACAGCATGTTAAATGCTCAGAGGTATAACAGTTTGGGTTTTCTTCTCCTCTTTCTTAACAGTCACGAAAGGGCTATGCAAAGACGGTGCTGGAAATCAACACTCCCAAAATAGACCAAGTGCCCATAGTTGATGTGATGATCAATGACTTTGGTGATCAGAACCAGAAGTTTGGATTTGAGGTCGGTCCTGTCTGCTTCCTTGGTTAAGCTTAAGACAAAAGCAGATCAACACAAATGTTGCACTTTGGTGCTACCAACCCACTTCATGCCACATGCAAGTTTTGAGTAAGGATGGCATAGAAAATGTCTTGCTGTGTATGTATGTCTTACCTAGAAAGTAATCGTTGCCCTTGTAGGGCCAGAATCACATGACTTAAACTTATTTTGCAAAGATGCTGTGGCACAGACAGACAACATAGGGCTCACTTCAGGAACACCCCCTTTGGATTCCTCTGGTGCTGTAAAAAAACCAACGACAATGGTGCTCCTTCCATTACAACAAAGAGGTGTTTAGAGAGTGTTTAATATAAACTGTAATTATTCTATGTACAGTACTATACTGTGATTTCTCTGTCCACTTCCGAAACTTGCATGTGTCTCTGAATTGCATCTGGCTCTTATTTTACAATTACAAACTACATTGTCAATACTGTGTATGTATTTTGAAAAAAAATAAAACTGTAATTGCCAGTGAAGCCAATTCCATTTCTGATTAATAATAAAATCCCTTTGTATATATTGTTGTTGAAGAGCTTTGTTATTTGGAGTCGCCAGTAAAATTAAGGTGGCAAAACTGGAAGAGCTTGAGCAGCACACTCAAACAACTCCTTTCTGCTGATATCAGTCTGTGACAATGAATTTAGATGATGAAATGAAAGCACTTTCAAAGGTGCTGTGTTCCATGGTGCTATACCTCAGACTTTTTATTTTCTATTCTAATTCCATAATTTCATAAGATAACTGTATATACCTAAAATAAACAAGCTTATATTTTTGGGTGGGGAAAACATGTAAGAAAAAACCAAACTTCTGTGTTAGAGAACTGTTTAAAATCTGTGAAATAAATTAGTCATATAGCTTTACTTTTTTTTTTTTTTTGTTTTAATCTCATCTAGATTTGTTTCCATTGTGCTTATTTGGGCTACATAAATATAAAAACTGGATTTGAAACAGTTATTTATGGATTTTGCAGTGTTTATTTAGATGTTTGTGTAAGCAATGATGGATGTTTGCTTCCTGAACTGGATACTAAAGATTTCACAGAATAGTCTATACAATATTTGCCCGTCCCATTAATATGAATTAATTAATATGAATTTTTCTTCCTGTTACTCCACCTGAAGGCCAGGGATGCAATATGTCTAGGTCATGTGATTCTACACAGTTGCTAAGCAACACAGGAGGGACTGCTTCTTAAAGAGCTGTCTTTGACCCAAACTCTTACAATTCACTGTTCAAAGCTCACCAAAAAACGTGATGGTTTGGCCTTCCCTCTGAACATTTTATTCAGGTAGTTGGAAGTAGAAATTACATTTTAGCTTTACAACACAAATCCTTTTGTAATTATTTTTCATAATATATGTAAGACTTGAAAAGAAATGTTTGTTTCTATTTCTTATAAATTGTTAAATTAAATAGTACTAGTTTCTGCTGGCTCGTTTCCAACTGGTATTTTCTTATGCACATTTATACATGTAAAAGTGAGATTCCAAAAGTCAACTTCTTGCTGTTCATATTTTCTTTTATTTTTGAACCAAAGTTTGTAACTGTCACCTCAAAGAGGGAAATACAAATTTTATTAATAAAATCAAGTCTTGTTTATCTGGATTGGTCATTCTCTTGTTTCAATGTCCAAAATGCACCCACTGTCATTACTTTAACTTTATTCTGCTTCCAGACCAATCCAGGCTTGAAAAAAAGGAATGTTACTACATGTCCTGTCAAGCACTGGGCAACAGCACTGGGAAGGGAAGTGTTAACGGAGAATGTGCTGATCTGGCCATTGGCAGCAGGGATAAGTTCATACGTGGTTGGTATGGATTTATAGCTCCAGCAGTCCAGACAATACCATCAAACACAAGACAGGAGCCTGATACTCCTTCCCCAGCCACTCACAACCTACAGTGACTGTCCATTCCTCAGTCTTGTGCTTATCCTTGTAGGACTCCATTGGGTAGGGAAATTACCCTATTTATTAATAGGAAATGGAAGACAAGAATGAGACCAAGACTTGGAAAGTAGTGGAACACAAAATGTCCAGCACCTTGTTTTAGACTGTGGAACCAGAACCAGCAATGGGTCCGATGACATGACAGATGCCCCCTTCTCCAAAGAACCTTCTCTCTTTTTCATCTGCTACCTGCTCTTCATGAACTCTGGCTATGTCTAAGTAAGATGTGAGAGCAGCTGCATTAAGTTTGGCGGAGAAGCAACCACTTTTTCCTGCTCAAGGGGGCTGGGCTAAGTTAGGAGCTGACCTGTTCAAGCCTATCTAAAAGAAACCTCCTTGTTTGAGTGCTTCAGGGTAACAAATAAAAGATGGTTGTGGCTTGGCAGAGTCAGGGTTAGTCTGCAGCAGAATGTTGTTTCTAAGAATGCAATGATGTATTCAAGCAGCCAAATGAAACCAGATCTTCTCCAGAATTAGTCCAAGCATCTTGCCAAGGTTTCTGTCAGCAACAACACAAAGGAGGAAATGAACTTGAGTTTTCTACTCTTTTCAGCAAGGACCCATCTGGTTTTTAACATTCTTTAACATTTCTTTAGGCCTTAACCACTTACTAGTTATCCTTTTCATGAAAGCATCTCACCATTGCTTGTGATCTAACTTCTCTTGGTCCATTCTCTTTTGCAATCTGCTGTTAAACAGAGATTGTGGTTGTGTTGCATTGAAATGGGAGTAACTCAGCACATGGCAAACCAAGGCCCAAAAATACTCCAGACTGAAACCATGTTCTATCCAGAATTACATGGACATACAAGAGAGATTTAAATGACAAGCTATGACTGGAGTGGCAGAAACTGCTCTGTGTGAATGAGTGGAGTTTCTTTGCCTCTCTCTCTTCCAGGATAGGGCAGTATCAATTCACCATGACTGGCACATCTCTTGGAAAACTTCATAAAATACAATGAAGATACTTTTTTCCATTCCATGTGAGCGCCATTACGGCGAACATCAACAGTCACCTTGTGACACAAAAAGGTACAAAGCATCAAAAAATAAGGACAGTAAGCTCCTTAAGATTCTTCCCCTGGGAAACAGCTTTGTTAATTTTAAAATTAATCTTCACATGCTAATGGATGGAAGGAGAAGCCTTAATAGACAGTGGTTTTCTATTGCAAACACACTCATTTTTCTGTGAAAGAACATCTTCTATTGTAGATGCACCAAAAAAAAAAAAGAAAATTACAGACAGGATATTAAATGTCACGTCTATTATATTTACCTGGAAACTTGTCTTATTTGTGTTCCTTTTGAAAGCACATAAATTATCAGAGGCTCATTGTTAGTTCAGTGGAAAGCAATGCCAAGATTATTGCCAAGCAGTAGATTGCTCTAAAGCTATTTATACATTTTGTTTTCAATAAAAACATTAAAGATTAATACAGCAAGGAAGGCTGCAAGCTTACAGATATTCCAACGCTCTGCTCTAGCCAAAATTGGCCTTGTTTCTTTCTCAGCTCTTTGAATGAAGGCTCTGTTCTAATGAGAGAGAATGCAGCCAAAGCCCACAATGGACATGTTTTGTCTAGGTTGTCCAGGGAGCTTTGGCAGACCTTGAGTTTGTTTCCAATATCTCAAGGGGGAAAAAAGTGATCTCCACCAAAACACACCTAATTTCACTAAGACAGACAAGAATTGTTAAAAACTCAGCAGTAGGACTGGGATGTAAGCGTCTCCTCTGCTCCCTATTATAATCTAAAAAATTGGGACTTTTTAACATCAAAAAGGCAACATAGCTAAATCCTGCTGAAGCATGAAAGAACTCCAGCTTGCAATGTGATTAAAATGTGGATGAAAATTAAAAATCCAGTCCATCCAATAAGATGCTGGACAGAAACCAAATTAATTCTCTTCTAGCCGCAGAAGTTCTCTAAACTGGATCTTCTGTTGTGTTTCAATGGTTAATTAAAAGAACCTTTCCGAGTTCACAGGACTGGGACAAGGCTGCCCCACAAGGTCATCTAAACAATCATGAATGAGCACAGCAGCTTCACACTCAGCTCCCCTCTCATCTGAAATATTTCACAGCCAGAGATCTTGCATATGGCCTTAGCCCCTGTGGGCTGCAGCACTGCAAGGCCAGTGAGTCATGGTCTCAGAGGCCCAGCCTGAAAGCTCTGAAGTTCCTCAGCACAAGTAAAAAGTGAACACAGCTACAGCAGAGCCATAAAGCTGAGTTTTTAAATTAAAAATGTTAACTAAATGAGGAGACTCAGGATGTGACTAACAAAATAAAAACATTACACTATAATTGTTGTTTCTGAAATGGAAATACTGGTTTCTTCTTTATTAGTTTACTGAGAATGTTACTCAGAAAGCCCACAAAAGTCAGCCAGGGTATATCATGGAGCTGCTTGACTTCTAGAGCAGGTCCTCCTCATTACAGTAGGAAAGTATATTAATTGGAATGAGAGGTGGAAGGATTTAGAATGAAGTTGTTTTTATAGACATAAAAGCTTTTTCCTGTCAAATATTAACTGAAAAAAAAAAAAAAAAGGTAAGGTTTTATATCCTTTCCTTACAGTCTCTTGAGCCTGGTCCTCTTTTTTGTTACAATATCATTTCAACGGCAGCTCAGGTGAAAAAGTAGCTGTGCTTTGTGGTCCTGGTGCCCAAATCAGCTCACAAAATAACATAGCACAATGTCAGGGCTCAGGTTCTGGAAAATGCATTAAAAGATAATCTTCCTAACATTTGCTATTCAGTACTTTCTGATTTGGGTGTACGGGGATCACTTATCCCTTTGTCATTCCTTAGAAGGATTTTAGAAATATCCACTTTGCTCTAAGCCTGCAGAGTTTTTCAGTGCACAGATACTAAGATCAAAGTTGTTTACTGTCAGAAAGACCAAAAATGGAATTTTAATTTGTGAAAACTTTCCACAGCACTCCAAATTCTGAAAAGAAGAAAGAACATTTCACCTTCCTTCTCCCCCTTTTTTAATTGTGATGTTTCCATTTGAAATAATGAGATGTTTTTGTCCAAACTCATTGAAAGTATTTGATTGATAGGAAGAAGTCCAATCTTGGTACCCTCACCAAGATTGTTTTCCCATGTGCTGGGAGACAAGAGCTGAGTACTATACTAGCAGTGGAATAAAGACACTTCTAGAAGAGAAAGGCGCAATAAAATAGTTCTCAATGTATCACAGAAAGGAGGAAAATTTAGTAGGGGAGGAAAGAGGAAATAAGAAAGCAGGGGGAAATGTGTGGGAAAAGAATGATAGGAGAACTTGGTTCCCTCAACACAGGGCAGGAGGGTGAGAAATCCTTCTGGGCAGTCTGGGAGCATCCCATGTGATTGCTGGAACTACAGGGCTCAGCTTTGTTTCTCACAGTCAGTGCAAAGGCAGGGTGCACTGGCCCCATAGTTAGGAGGCAGCAGTAAAACTGGTTTATAAAAAATATACCTAAAGAGCAGCCAAGATTGCAAGGCTGTGTGGGAAACACCTGGAGCACAGCCTGCAGCAACATCCCTGTGCCTCTCCCTCCCCTCCCTTGGCACACTCACCTCTCTCTCAGACACTCCTGACACTGCCTCCTCTGCAGGATCTCTGCTCTTTGGAGCAGCCACATTTTACTGGGGCACTGGAAAGCACAGGAGATCTCAAAAGGGGGATGAGATGTTTAACTTTTAAGGTGAAGAGAGAATGGATGATGGGGGAGGGTGAGCAGGCTCAGAAATCAAAATACACCCACACTAACATACTGCCAGACTCATAAAATATAAAGCCTGTCTGGACCATCCAGATTAGGAACAGGCAATTTCTGTGTCCTTTTCCTACCACAGAGAAACACAGAGACCAGGCAGCACTGAGGGCTATCTCTGAAAGCAAAGTCAGATAAAAACAATGGGGAGATCAGCTCACACTGCTGACCCTTTGAAACCTCTCTCTGCACTTTAAAATTGACGTATTTCATTTTCTGAACACATTGACATCAAATCAAAACCACAGTATTTTGAGGAACCACATTTGAACTAGCATCACATCTTCCCATGAAAATATTCCTGATAAAAGCAATAAAAAATTAAAAATGGACAGTCCGCATGAACTGAGGATACCTGAAAATGTTCCTGATTAAATGATTCTTGATTATTTCAATGCATTATGCAGTTTTGCATGTGTGCATTCATTTCTCATGTTTTGCATAATCTTTCTGATGACTGTATGCACAAGTGTGCCATGTAGAAACAGCGGTGAGCCAATGTGGTTACTCATTAAACTTAATGAGAAGGTTAGAATTATCTACTATAAAACCAAGATGAAAGCAAAATCACAAATTTAAAAGCTAACTAAAGGCTGAAACATCTGCAAGTACAGTTAGTTAACACCCTCTTAACATGCAGAACAATAAATACATCATATACATATACAGCAAATTTGGATTACCCAAGTGTAACTCAGCTGTGATGGTGTATGAAATGATACATTTAACTCTAATCAGACACATAACTCAGAGGAAGCAATACCACAAAATACTTAAGGGCTGTCTTGCAACACCTTTTTTTTTGATAGCCAGATAGTATTCTGCCCTTTTCTGTTTAAACACAATGAAGGAAGACAGAGTTTGATGTGTGCCTCCAGATCTCTGTAAATAAATGTAGGGTGACTCCTACACACAGGGGTCAGGGCTGTAACCATACAGTAAAAACCAGAAAAGGATGAAGCCCAGGGCCTGTGAACAATGTATGTGCGACAAAGGAGAGTTACAAAGTACAGCAAGGGATCATAAAACCATAAGGTATCCTGAGTTCAGAAGGACACACATGGATCATCGAAGTCCAGCTCTGTCCATCACAAGGATCATCGAAGTCCCGCAGGCCATCACCAAGAGTCACACCATCTGCCTGAGAGCATTGTCCAAGCACTTCTTGAACTCTGCCAGGCTTGGTGCTGTGACCTTGGGGAGCCTGTTTCAGTGCCCAAAGACCCTCTGGGGAAAAACCTCTGCCTTTGCCTAATATCCAACCTGAGCCTCTTCTCAGCTCCACATGAGTTACCTGAGTCTCTAGTGGTAACCAGAGAGAAATCAGTGCCTGTCCCTCTGTTTCTGCCTGTGAGGAAGTTGTGAACTGCCCTGAAGTCTCACCTGTGTCTCCTCCACACTTACCAAGCCAAGGGACCTCAGCTGCTCCTGCTATGGCTTCCCCTCAAGGCCCTTCACTGTCTTGGTATCTCTCCAACAGGTTTAAATCTTCTATTGTAGCACCCAAAACTGCACTCAAGGTAATACTTACAGTTTAGTACTCCAGGAAATACTCTAAAGCCCTTCTTTAACAGGAGGCCTTACCCATATTTTTAGATGTTTGTTCTGACTAAAACTCCCTGAAGAGCCCTGGGTTTGGCACTCCCAGGGGCAGCCCCCAGGTGACCACTCAGGGCCTGTGGGCCCAGCCTGATGGGGGCTGTGCTCTGATTCCAAAGCCCAAGAGGTGACTTTGAGCCCATGTGTGTGTCTAAAGACACACTCCTCCACTTACTCCTAGATGAAATCCAGCGTTATCTTTTTGTCAGGAATTTTCCTCCCACCAATTCTCATTTCTCCTAAAAGCATCATATTCAAAATGTACCATTCCCAGCACCCAGAGTTCTATGCATGTGAAAAGAGGTAAATTCACATTCAGTTGTTACCTCTTCAAAGGCATAATTAAGGTAAAAAAACCCCACCCCACCAAATACAAAGGTTGCCCTCTCCTCCTCTGAACCTGTGCATGTGCTCTGACTCCCTTCCCATGTGCTCACAGGGCGATGGCACTCTGACCTTCCTCCCTGTCAGGCAAAACACTTCCCTTGAGTTAAACAACACTTCCCTTGAGTTAGCATCACTCTGGGATCATCCTCTCCAGAGCTTGATGTCTGCAACCTGAGCTGAGAGACCTTTTCAGAGTGAAGAAACATGAAGGGTTTGTTTTCTTTACCCAGGTGTTTCTGTGGTAGAATGGGCTGCAAAACCTGAGTAGCTGTGAGAATTCAAACAGCAGGCATGCAAAGGCAATATTTAAACAGCTCTATAAATGAGCTAGGGATGTGTGTCATTGGTTTTGAAGCACTATCTAAAGTTTTTTTGCTGAAAACTCTTCTGTTGAGACATGAGTCATATTAAGCAGCTTTATGGCAGATACGGTAGCTCCTCTTTCATGCAATCTCTTTCTCTGAAAGCTTTGATTGAGAACTAAGCCACATTAAGGGTTTAGTGGTTGAGCCTGGAAGCTTCCTTCAGTAAACTCCTTCCTGAATTAATTGCTGCTGGAGCTTATCACCCATAATAATATTTTCAGAATCTTTCCCCCATTATCTTCCTCTGTCAGGTTAAATTCACCTTTTTGATGTGACACACATTAAATACTGTAAAAAAGGAACAAAAATTTCACTGCTCAGTTGGGGGATGCAGCACAGAGTGTTAGTGTCCACAGGTCTGCTTTTGCACTTGGTGAAATATGAAGGACATTTCAGCAGAATTTTAAGATAAACAGTTGAAAGTAAAGAATTCCCTTCTCCACAGTCCATCACCTTTAAGGACCATGGCAAGAATTCCACTACAGTCACAGCTTTAGGATGTTTCTATGCAACATGTACAAAAAAGTGAGAGACCAGCAGAAGTCTTACACAGACAAGCATTAAATTATCAGTTGTGGTTTAGGCTGGGCTCTCTTCCCCTGGTTCTCCTTAGCTGTGAGTTGTCGTAGGCTGAAGGTATCCCTTAGAAACAAATGGAATGATAAGTCTTGCTCAAGTACTCAGCTGCCAGGCAGGCAGGTGGGGATTGCAAGTTAAAACACTCCTGGGCAGGCAGAACTCCAGGGCATGGTAAATTCTTAAATTAACAAAGGTGCAAACCATGCAGTTTCCCTTGCTATGCACTGCTCCTAAGGGGATTGCAAAAAAAGGTCTTACCTTTAATGAGCTAGGATCCAGTTATGCAGGAAATGCAAAGACACATTTTAAATACCTAGGGATGAAGGGAGAGAAAGGTTAAGACAGCCTTGATCTGTATCCCATCCGAAAGTAAATGCAAATTCTCTCTCTGGCAGATGCTTTTAGAACACTTGGAAAAAACCATACCCACAAAAATTATTTTTCTCTAATGCTTTCATGAAAATACTAGTGAAATGAAAAAAAAATTGCTCAAGCTGTAAATATAGATGACAAATCTTACAGGTGTCCAAAAGTTCCAAAGCAAATCAAGATAAACTTTTTCAGTAGGCTCAGACTTCCTGTACATAGGTGTAATACATTTCAGTTTTCAACTTCTTAAAAGCTTGGAAGTTTGGAAGAAATATTTCTTTAGTCAATACATGCATGCTAGTATAAAACATACAAAATATACTTTATTAGAAGTTACTTACACAAATCTAAGTTTATATAAAGATTAAAATATATTCACTCTTCACTGTGGTGAATTCAACCACTTATAAATACCCTTGGTCTAATTTCAGAGAACTTCCATGTTTTGTGATGGTATCAAACCAGGACTGCAGAGAGCTGAAGGCTGATACCAGGTTAAGTGAAAGGGAATCAGAGCCACTCTGCTTTTCTGACAGCCATTATGGTAATGTGATCAGTACCTTGACAGATGCTAAGAAGAATAATTTTGCTGATTGACTTTTCTTCAAACCTAAGGCTGTGGGCAATCAAAGAAAATATGAACATCTGGCTGAGCTTTTGATTGCCATGCTCACTGATATAGTGCACCCAAATAAGCAACAATTAGTACAGCTTGTGTCAAAAGACCCATCAGTTAATTCAAATTAAGTCAGGAAAATTGAATCCAATTGGCATTCATGCATATTTGTATGCAAAGTTTAAATAAGATTCTTCTGCATTACATTATCCTTTATTTACAAGGGAAAAACATGCAAAGTTTTGTGGTTTAAGCAAATATCTTCAAAAGCCTTCTGACTTCTTAAAGCCAAACTGCTGGGAAAACTCTGTGTACTTTAAAAGGACATATTTAGTCTAATAAACATAAAAATGTGGTGGTTTTCTCAAGTTCATATTCCTCACTTCTTAAAAAATGTCACAAATTTGGACAAGTTATTCATTTTGTCAGGAGTAATTAGAGTAATGCAGAACTGATACATGGCTAAATTTATTAACTAAGATGGTGGCCAAGATAACTACCAGACTGTAGTAAGAAAGAAAAATCTGAAAGCTAAAGACTAATTTCCTCATATTTTTGCTTGATTGTGAGTGTAAAACCCTGGGAATATGTACCTTCTTTTAAAAAAATAGCTTTCCTGTTGGGATTCTATTTATGGTAACAGTAAATTAGGTTGCATGAGAACCTGAGATTAAAACTAATCAAAGGCAAAAGACAAGTTGTGTGCCTATTTTTTAAAAAAGAGAAATTTAGGAAAAAAAAAATGATTTTTAAATTTAATTCTTGTTCCTTGCAGTAAATAAACTTTAGTCATTTTGTGGAAGTTAAGATGTAATAATTTTTTTTGTAACTTGGGTGTGAAGTCTGTTTTTTTCCTTAAAAAATAGTGACAGACTCTCTAGCTGAGGTGCTATCTGAGCTTAGCTAAGTAGAAGTGAAATTTACTGTAATCTCACCTAAATCTCAGTTATCTTAACCTGACCCTAAAATCCTGTTATAAAATTCCAGGATTTCTGCAACTCATTCAGATGTGTTAATCTAAAGCCCAAGGCAAACCAGTGTATCTCAGGCTCCACAGGGGACAGGGTCACACTGGCAGCCCCAGCTGTAGCTTTGCTCATGAACTGTGGTCACATTGCACCTGTAGCCACTGCCCCTGAGTGCTCAGTGTTGTCAGAGCCAGGGAGCTTCAGGGCAGAGCTGGGAATACCTAAAATGCTGATAGAGCAGAGGAGAGACCATGCCACAGCAGAAGGCTGGGTGGGTCAGTCCATTGGCTGGGAATCACACACTACATTATCAGCTGCCACTGATGCAATGAGTGTGGCCAAGCACCTGTTACAGTCTCATTTTTCTTAGGGTTCCCTTTGTTTTGATGACAAGAAATAGGTTTTCCTAATCACTGACTCTAACATTCTTTAGAACAATCAGATCAATTAATTAGAAAACTACTACTATGCTGCCTTCATAAATCAAGAGTTAGCTTGTGATCCATAACTTAAACAGTCTTTTAGCAGTTGTTTTCTGGAAGTTCTTTCCTTTAAAATACTAAGATCTCTTATACATCCATCTTCTGATTCAGAGGTTAAGAGTTCTTCTACTAGTGTTACCTTTAGAAATATAGTTGATGGAAAATCCCCTAGGTAGTCTAATGATATGGTCCAGTTACTCTCAAGTGCACAGGCCCCTTATAAATGCTACTCAAAAATCAATATCAATCCTTCAGTGCCTTCAAAAGATGTGGAGTAAGGGCCATAATAATGGCAATTGCCTCTAGCAAATAACTGCTCAGTGATTATACTGCAGTGGCCTGGAAGTCCAAATCCCCCTCAATAACTTTCAAAATGGATGCATGCTGGGAAATGTAAAATCATCCCTAGCAGGCAGGTCAGTAGCTGCTGTTTCCAGTCAAGTACCTACTTATTTATTGTGTTGTTCTCTCATTATTGACCTAAGATTTTGGAGAAGTCTGCTAAAAAAAAGTAAGCTGCAAACCAGTAGGTCAGCATTTCAGACATGTTCAGCACAGCAAAGAGTACTGTGCATCACAGGAGAATCAGCTGGCAGCCCCTCCCTTTGCCTGTTTCATTTAAAATCTGAAAGCAGACCAAGGAGAATACAAATTCAAAGACTATGGTGGTAGGAAAAAAATCACTCCAAGTGTAAACAACAAGGCAGCATTCATAATTATGGCCTCTAATATTTATTCTCTGAGTAAAACAGCTGCTTGCTTGGAGTCAGGAACAGGGGAATATTTAGCAAAGTTTGAAGTAGTGTTACTTACTTTACCACTAAGACTCTGAATGGCACTTACCTGGGGTTCAAGTTTCCATGGTTTGCACATGAGAAGGTCTCAGTGGACAGTATCAAAAGTCAGCACAGGCCAGGTGTAGCAGCCATTGCTTTGACTCTACACATCAGCTGCACCACTGGAGTAAGGGACTGGTTAAAAATCACCCAAAGCCCAGGATGCTTTGGGCATTGCCTTCCCATCTCATTATCTTCTGCATGCTGATACTGAATCAAAATTAGCCAGCCAACCAAAATGGTTTGCCAAGACATCAGGGATAGAAAGTCCTTGCCATACAGAATAGACAACCTTGCTACACTTACATTTCACCCTAACAAAACTTTTAATTAAAAATACTAGAAAAAATTGTCCACATACATACATTCATTGCTATTAACAGCAATGTTACTCGCTACAAGACACAATTAAGTAATTATACAACAATAAAATAAAACTCATTGGAATTTGAAAGACAGTGATGTTTTTGTATGTTAAAAACAGAAGTACAAAATAAAGATTGAAGATGGAGAACTCTCAACTTTTTATTTTTTTAATCCTGCATTTGATTTAAAATATTTTTATTTCAGCCACCTCTCAAATATTAAACTTTATTTTCTACCAGTATTCCTATCAATTTAAATGTCTTAGCAAGTTCTGGAAAACCAACAATTTTTGCAGACATGCTGTACCATCACATTGAGTTCTAGAGCTTCATTAACCATAATAAAGTCTTCATTATGTGTTTTCCCTGCATGTATAATATACTGTTTGTATGAATGCCTATCACAACTGGAAATATATTGAGCCATCTAGCAGCTGATAGTTCAAGCAATGCATAAATATTAGAATAGAGAAAAGCTGAGTATAATTTCAAAGCCAGTTTCATTTAAAATTCTCTGAACCGGCCACTCTCTTTGCGCCATCTGTTTTCATAGGACACTCTGGTACCTGAGGGGTTTTTATTTCAAAAACTCTGAAAACAAATGTTATGGCTAAATATATTCTCTGCAATAAGTATTAGGTAGTGAAACAAATTAGACTAAGTACATACATACATACCCAGGAGTAAAATTTAGGTTTTACAGGCATGAGTGCTACCAGAGGTATCAGACTCAGGGAACCCATTATGATTTAGACCTTAGTGATACGACAATAATAAGACACCTTAAGCAAGCTGTTGGCTGAATCAGTCAAGTTAATCTCAACTGTATGTTAGTGAAGTAATTTTATCCACATAAGTTGATTTTAGTCCATTAAGACAGTCCTTTTACTTCACAGTGTGCATAATCATTGCATTTCCCTACCTTTATTTGTCTTCATTCAAAGGAGCACTGAACCACCTTGGTTCAGTGTTAATGGTGTTAATGGCTTATTGCCATTAACAAGGTTGTGGTTTACCTAAATACAGTGTCAAATGAAGTCACAGAGTGTCATGAGGATGATAGCAAGAGAAACTGCATAGGTGTGCTCAAGGTTACTATGTAGATGAGAAATATAAATGAGGGATGAAATGCAATTTAAGCAAACACACAGATGGAAAACAAATGTGCCATTGCAGATACACAATTCCTGAAGCAGCTGTATAGGAGTCCTCCTTCACTTGTAATTCTTATAATGGGATTGAAAATCAGAAGAAATCAGAATTGTTAAGCGATGAGGAAACAGCAGATATTTTTACTAAAGCTGTATTTCAGTGAAATTACCTTTTACTGACAAGTCAAGCATTATAAAACATAGAGAGTTAACTGCATGAGCATCCTAAAAGCCTGTGTATTAAAGCTCAAAAGTTCATTTGGCAGAGACTAATAGGCCTAAAATCTTTATAGCTCATTTTAACACCTTCTGTTTTTCTCATTAGTGCTGGCACTGATGTTCAGTTATTATTGTAGGATCTGATCATATTTACAAATCCTTGATACTTTTCCTCCTTAGAGACTTGATCTGAATCACTTTTGAATATCTAGCAGATGTTCAAGATACTGAGTTCTTAGAAAGATGCAAGGCTCTTTAAATGTGAATGCACAGCTACAATCTCTAACTACTGTGCTTAAAAAGTAAA